ACCCTCCACATCAAACAGCACTCTCCAACTCTGAACAACATGCAGTCTTCATTTAAATTATACATTTTTTAATACTGATTTTACTTTTTTTCATTGTGTTTTCTTGCTGTAGTTTCTCCCCATGATTAAAATGCCCATTAGAACTAAGAAGTAGAAACTAGATTTGTAATGTTACAGAGAATTTATATGCTGCACATTAAATTAAAGGGAAAACTTTACTAGTTTTTTGAGTGACATTCATTTTGCTATCATACTTGACACTTATATTAAAATATCACATCCTTTTCAATGACTTTACTGTATGCCGTCACTAAGTTTCAGGTCTGTGTGATTATAATTTTTTTGAAAAAAACATAAATCTATAGTATTTAGTTGTAAAATACTGTTTGATAAACGGTCTTTAGAACCACGTTATGTTGCAGTAAAGTACCATTTGATAAACAATCCTTAGAACTATGTTATGTAGCAGTAAAGTACTGTTTGATAAACAGTCCTTAGAACCGTGTTATGTTGCAGTAAAGTACTGTTTGATAAACAATCCTTAGAACCATGTTATGTAGCAGTAAAGTACTGTTTGATAGTCTTTAGAACCATGTTATATAGCAGTAAAGTACCATTTGATAAACAATCCTTAGAACCACGTTATGTTGCAGTAAAGTACTATTTGGTAAACAATCCTTAGAACCACATTATGTTGCAGTAAAGTACTGTTTGGTAAACAATCCTTAGAACCATATTATGTAGCAGTAAAGTACCATTTGATAAACAATCCTTAGAACCATGTTATGTAGCAGTAAAGTACTGTTTGATAAACAATCCTTAGAACTGTCTTATGTGACTGTAAAGTTACTTTTTGATAAAATATTCTTAGAACCATGTTACTGTAAAGTAGTTTGAAAAAATCCATAGAACCACATTAAAAATAGCTTTAAAGTACTGTATATTTAGAATTTGTAGAATTGTGTATATGACTGTATTGTTTGGTGAAAATCTTTTATATAACTATCCATTGTTTATTTCAAAATGAATACAACTCTAGTTTCTTATGTGCTAATGAAGCAAAGACTGCACTGTCAAATTTTATCTGTATGTTGTTCAAGAAGTCTGATCCCATAGAGAAATGGCTTTTCTTGTTACTTGGTTTGTGTGTAGTCTAGTTTTTTTTCTGAGAGACCAAATTTTTGGGACACCTTATAGATACGTAACAGTGAAATTGACCAAAATTTAAAAAACAATAAATATAAACAATATTTCATTGAAATAATATGCATTTTCAGAATTGAATGATGAAATGTGAGAAAAGTGAGAAATGTGTGTGCAATCATAAAAAGCTGAATTGTGCAAAAGAAATTTTTTGTTCAATTTGCACTTTAGTTTGAACATTCAAAATAGTATCATACAATTGGAAAACATTGTTTTTTTACAGGAGGTTATTTTGAAGTTTCTTACCATGTATATCATATGGATAACTTGAATATGATTGTACATGTAACAGTATAAAGCAAGAATGTTGTTGTATTCGGCAGAGTTTCTTATGTGTTACTCTGGGTTATATGTTTATGTGTAAAGTATTCATAATGAAGTTGTGATTTAATAATGGCCCCTAAAATAAGTTGTAATAGTACATGCACATTCTAACTATGGAAGAAAGTTAATAACAGTCAGTATTTGAAAATAGAATATAACAAATTTCATCCTCTAAATGATGCAAAATAAATTGAAATTTTGATATTTGCATCTAAGGAAACCTTAGAATTTTTGTTTTGGCTGTATCTTCAGATTATGGCTGGTTTTTTATTCATGTTTCTTTTAGGGAGGTTATACTTTTCTCACAATATACAGTGTACAAGCTGAATCAACAATGGGATGTCTGTTTTTATTTGTTTTAGTGTTGCATAGCTTGTACATGTGATATGTTTTTTTTTATATTCCTATATGAGTTACTAATGCTTACTACAACTACATGTTAAAGCACACACTGCAACTGTACATTTTGTTTTTGTCTGGTTCAACAGTAACAACCAAAAATCTGGAGAAGTCTATTTTTACAAATTACAGAGCTTTGGAAGTATTAAGCAAAAAATCACAAACATTAGCTACCTAACAGCTTGAATGATGTTAATTATATGACAAGATGGAAGAAAATGTAAAATCAATTTGCAACTAGCTTGTTTCATCTAAGCCTTATTTTAAACTTAAGATTATGCAAATTGTCTCTTGAGCTTAGTTGTTTCTTGAAATTTTTTTTTCCATATTTAGTATTTCTCACTTATTTAAACTTGTTGATTTACCTATATTTTCTCTAACTACAAAGAAAAAAGAATAAAAGTTGTCAATTTTAATAAATTTTTACTGTAATTGAATTAAAACCTACCTTTAGTTTCAAAGAATGCACTGGAAGTCATGCTTTAATTAAGATGTTTGCAATGGCATAGAGTCACCTGATATATGTGTGTAGTTAGCTAGAAGTGGAGCTATAATTTTGATTAAGTAGGCTAATTATCATTAATTAACTTAGTTTTGATCAAAATGTTTAATTGGTTATGAATTTAATTTTATGTATAGGGTATGAAATTGTGAAAGTCTTTTTTTTTTTAAATTTTCATTTGAAAACCAACAAATATGGAATATCTTTTTATTTAACAAAAAAAAAAGCTAAAAATTGTAACAGTGTGAAAAGACTGTTTCTCTGATCCATCATTACCATCACACATTAAAAAAATAAAAGTTAATCATACATCATTGGCAATAAGAAACATATAATTAATATTACACATCCTTAGTGTAGTTCCCAAAGCTTTCTTGGTCGAGAAAAGTTGTATGAAAAAAAAAGTGCGAAATCAATAAAAACCACTTATTTTCAAAATAGCAAAGACATTCTTGCGTAACTGTGAGAAAATTTCTCAAATTTAGTTTACAGTGTTCTGTATTTTATAAAGAGAAAGAAAATTACTAAGCAGTGTTTTGGCTTGCAGTTGTTCCTGGGATTTGCTAATCAAAACACATGGTAGTGTGTTGTGCAGCCAAAACAGCCTGTAGGGAACACTGTGTCATTAACTGGAGTGATAGTTTAGCAATTTTCCTCTTTCTGTAGCTCTAACTGTGTTAATTCAGACTATCATGTATTTTCAGTGGATGTGCTATACTGGATCATCATTTCACTTACCAAATTTCAAGGCAATCCATTAAGAAACAAACAAGATATAAAATCTCTAATTTTGATTGATTTTTTTCCTTTTTCTTTTCTTCTTACTGAAAGTATGGAAAATTTATTTGATAGAAAAATATACTTAACTTTCATAGATTTTTATCAAATTTGGTACACTGATAGATCTTTATAACCTACAATCAGGTGTCAAATTTGGTCTAAATATAAGCCACTTGCACAAAGTTATTCAACAGAAACTGCTTGATAGGTTACATCTAATTAAAAAAATATTTCCTAAACCTTTTCCCCAAAGCTACAACTGGAAATCTTAAAATAAGAAAAAGAAATCACACCATTAAATATAGTGCTCCTAGAATAAAGCACACAAACACCAAAAAAAGCAGAGAGTAGTGAATAAATTAGCTTGCAGTTGTAATTTCACTTAATCATTACATTGAACTTTTTGAAATGGATATAGAAAAGTGAAATTTTTATTACACTATGCTAGCTCTTTTGCAATACACTGATTTAAAGTTTAAAATTATTTGAATCTTTCAAACAATTTTAGTATAAAAGTGTCTGCATTAACTTGAAATAGTTTTAGAAATTTTTAACCTTTCTTAAATATTTAAGCTCTGTGTACTTTTTTTCCATTCAGTCATCACTGTGAGAACCATGGCACAATTTGTAGGAAGGGAAGAGAAATACACGTAAGTTTCATTCACTTTGTGTCCTTTAGAAGGTTTTGACTTAAAAAAGTTTATCACCATTATATAGTAACTGATTGTTAAAACTATTAAAAAAATCTATTGAACACATCAACTTTGAGATATTATTTTTATATTGGGGAAACTTGTATAATTAAGAATGGGAAGTTCTTCTGACTTGTTCTTACTGATATTGATACCCGTTTTTATTTTTGAAAGTCAAAAACACATTTATAATAAAAATGATAATTATGTTTAATAGACTTAATTCTATATATTTTTATGAAAAAAGTTGTACCTTTTAATTAATATAATTATGTTTTCAAATTCTTAGACCTAGAAGACCACTTAGACCAATTCTTTGATGCAGTATTCTATTAATTTTACTTAATTACTTTTGCAAGATAAAAAAAATTATATAAATTTAAATTAGTCCTTTAAAATTAACGAGGAATTATTTTATCATCTGAAGAAATGAAATAAGAAATACTCAATTACCATGTGATCTATGGATTTTAGAAACCCAAAGAAGTAAGAAAATTATAAACAAAAATTCCACATCAAGCTATTGACTTTCTTTCAGTGAATCCAGTAATAATGTAAACTTGCAGTGTTCTGCTAGTTAATGACTTCCTTAAATTGAAAATGAAGTACTTGGAAGGGCAAGCAAATTAATAATTTTTCCAGCTTCTTCACTCATACTTTGATACCAAATTCAATAGGCTTATTCAGCTTTTTATGGGAACTGAGTAAAGCCCAGTGATTTCCATGCTGAACTGTGGATGTGATATTATTAACAAAACAAAAATATCTTTCTTTGTACTTTTGGGCTGTTGGTGTGTTGTAGAAATGACATTCAAATCCTACTATTTAATCTGACAATAACAGCCTCAGAGGGACAGCTAGTACAGATATCCCTTGTGTAGCTTTGCATGAAATTCAATAAATAGATTTTTGTATATAGAATAATATGTTAATGTATACCCAGTATAATTTCCTTTTTAGGAAGTTCTCAACCAACTGCACTGTTTCAGAGATATTCTACCAATCAAAATAATTATCATACAAAATTGAAAACATTTATTATTTGTGAAAAAATCAGATGTCAGTTGACTAGTCATTTGACCCACTTGTTAACCCTACAAAGTAGCAGTAGTGATAATGAAAAATTCTAATAAAAAAGTCTAAATTCATTATCTTCCATAATCACAGTGATAATAAAATAGCAAAGGTGCAATTTTAGCTCTTGCATCTTCACTTATAATAAACAATGTACTTCTAGCTTAACTTGAAATTTTTCTTCACCTTTATATGGGTATTGAAAGGATTGCCATATGTGTGTTTCAAGATTGGTAAATAAAAAGTTCTAAAGATAATAACTTGTTAGAAAAACCAAGGCATTAAAGATTTAGTCACAGGTAGAAATTAAGAGACTTATGTAAAAGTTTTTTATTAAATTATTTTTACAAAAAGTTACATTTTAAGTATGAAATTCAGTTATTGCATATAAATTATATGGTTAAAGTGTTCAATCTTTTTTACATAGTTACTCTCAATAATATCTAAGTGGATAGTATTTTTAATTTTGGTTTTGTATTTTTTTTAATGTTTCTTTTTCTGTCAACATACATTTTTTTTCATAATTTTAAAGATATAAAAAATAAAACCAGTCATAAGTAGTTTCAACTTTACAAGGTTATCCACTTCAATTAAGTTTATAACTTGCTCTTAAAATGACAAATTGCTTTAAGTAATGTATTTTTTTAATGATAGATGAATTGAAAAATTCCCATACAAAATGCATTAAGGCTTAGTTTACATAAAATCTCATAGATGGCAGGCAGCTTAAGATTTTCAGTATGTTGTCAATGAGAATGATGGGATCTGAACGTTTTCACTTACAAAAAGTTCTGCATTTCTACCTAGTATCATTACAGGGATAAATAACTTGTTAGTGTCATAGCTTTGTCAGTGTATATATAAATATACACACATACACACACACACAAAAGCATACTAAGATAAATATAGATAAATGCTAGTAAACTATGACATTCAATATTAGTTGAAAGTATAAAATCAGGTTTCTAAATTTATTTTATCTTTGACGGTGACAGTAGAAAAACCAAGACTAACTATTTATGTATAAAAGTTATAAAACTTTTTCTGATGCAACAACATAATATCAATTCAGGTTTTCTTCAACATTTGTTATATATCACCTTATAGACTTTCATTTAAGCTTGTTAATTTTTATATAAAATTTGTACTATTGTACTACTATTTTCTGACCAGTGGCTATTTATTTACCTTGTTGCTATTCACCTGCACTATGATTGTTTTCTCCAATGTTAGAGTGAAGATTATTTAGGTGAAAGTTAGGCCAAATACTCTTTCTTTTGAAATATTCTGCCATCATATTATGATTTTGATTCAATAAAATATAATAACTACCTTTTTGAGCTTTATTTTTAGATATAACTCATTGATATTTTACCTCAACATTGTGAAGGTCATTTATGTAACATTCAGTGTTATGGGGTTAGACATTGCTTGGTATTGGCTAATGAAATAGTACCCCAGGCAACACAGTGGCCACTTGTTCCCAACTGTATAAAATGCTTGCAGACAAAAACATATTTCATTGTGACAGTTTCTACTTGGCACATGCTGGAAACGTGGCCAAAATACAAGAAAATTTCCACAGTTGGAAAGGAAATAATCATGGGTATAATTTAAAAAAACAGTACAAAAAACATAGGTAGATGAGCCAAAAAAACCTTTTCTTGGAGCATCATACAGGAAAGTGTGCTGTCAGATGCAACTGTTGGACTGTCATTTACAGACAGGATTGAAGCCCCACAAACAGTACTTCACTTCAGAAAGGTATGTTTCAATGTGTAAATATAATTCATATATATCAACATAAAATTTTGTCTATTTCCAAGATGTACATTTACCTCAGTATATATAGATATATATAAATATTTCTTATTACTTTTCAATTTAAGTGATATCTAAGAACTACTGTGTGTTATAGAAAGACAACCATGTGATGGTATCAATGATCCTGGCCTAGAAAGACTTGTGGAAAGTTGAATTGTTGACATTGCCCATTTCATCACAGAAGCGAGGAGGTTGTCATATCATTTGTTCAGTTGCTCAAAAAAGTGCTTTTTTGTTTCACCATGAATTTCATTAAGGGCTGAAAAGTATTTTAGTATTCAAATGTACATGTGGTGAGAATATGACAATTCAAACAGACAGTGCACCAGGAGAAGGACACCACAATATCAATGTTGCTGCTGTTTGGGGTTTCACTGTCACAGGTGCTGGATATTCACAATTAGAAGTGCCACTATCATGAACATACTCTGCTTGAGCTTAAATACTTTCAGAAGTGTGAGAAAAAAACTGACAAGGTGCATATTTAGCATGTAAGAGTGTCACTGGCATTTGATAAAGTTTTTTCCTTTTCCAGGAAAAGTTTTTATCTATATTTTCAAACCATAGAAATTACAATATTTATAGCTTTTTATTTATCCATAACCCGAATGGTGTAATTTCCATGCTGCTCTGATAAAGTTGGTTGCACTGTATGAGCTTTTATTTTTACCTTTGTGAAATACAATGAATGTATTAATGTTTATTCTGTGTTTTCAAGTTGATATTTTCTGATGTTGTAATTTTCGTTATAAACATATCAAATAAACCTAAATTATTTTATTTTTCCTGTTTAGGAATGGCAAGGACTGCTTCATAAGCAGCTAATGACAGCAGGTTGTGAAGAAAGATGTCTTGTTATAAAAGCTGGCAGTGTGGACATGGATGGAGTTTCATATATAACTGTAATAGTTGATGGAGGATGGAGTAAGCGAGGCTAGAGACACACATACTCAGCAGCAGCAGTTATTATTTGTCAAAGGACAAAAAAACTTATTTTTGGGTGCAATAAATAAATTTTGTAATGTGTGTATAGCAGCAGTAAGGAAAGGAGAAGAAATTGAACATACTTGTTACTGAAACTGGAATGAACCTTATAGTACAATGGAGTCTGACATAATAGTAGAATGATTTCAAAGGCTTTTTCATGTACAGATGAATCCCCACCACCAATCATTTTCTTATACTGGAGTTTATGCATCTCTTCTGAATTTATGGAGCATGTGTCTTATGGCAGAAATGTGGAAAAAAAATGGAATGTGCTAATCATGCTGTAAGACTTTACATAAAAACTTTATTCCAATTAGTAGGGGGAAGTGCAGAAAACTTCAGAAGAGATGCATAAACTCCAGTATAAGAAAATGATTGGTGGTGGGGATTCATCTGTACATAAAAAGAATTATGAAGCATGTGTCTTATGGCAGCAATGTGGAAAAAATGGAATGTGCTAATCATGCTGTAAGACTGTACACAAAAACATTATTGCAAATAGCATTATTGCAATGACAGAATATTGAGATTAAAAAAAATCTACTTTTAGTGCTGTTTGGCATAATACACAAAACAGTAATTCTGTAGAAGAACTGATAAAAGACTTAAAGAATGCAACCTACCATATATTTGGTGATTATGGCAAGAGGAAATTATATTATTGTTCCCATCAAAGAAAATAAATGGCAGCAAAACAAACAACTTGAATAGCATACCTCATAAAACTCTTGAGCTGAATAATGACTGCTTTCTGATACAATCCCTTACCTCTTCTCACATAATAGCTTTCCTTGATTCGTGCTGCCCTCTATATGCACAATTTTCACTCACCACTCGCTTTAATGCTCCCACCTAACATCACGTATTTACATGTGGTATAGCTTCAATTTAGCATGCAAATGAGCATGTGACAACCGTCCACCAATAGGAGTGCAACACACCCTCCTAACACAGTTGACTCCCTCTATACCATAGAGAACAGTCATCACTTCTCGATTTAGCACTTGTGTATGGGGGTGTGTATTTTGTTCACTTGTGAACTTTTCAGATGTAGGCGTTTTTCAGTGGAA